CTTACCAGAGTCTCGGATGTCCAGTTCTGTAACATACTTCAGTCGCGGTGCAATTACTAAATGACAAAACAGCAGCCCGAGCTAGTGGCCTTCCAGGAAGGACGCAGCACAATGGAACCCCTGCGCTTTTACACCCTCACAGATTAAGGGTAGGAAAGTCTGGGTTTTCATCTCCTGCCGTGTCTCTGAGTGTCCATCCCCTGCCCGGTGCCACAGGGCGCTGTGCTGGGCGAAGGGCTGGTAATTGTCTTGTCTCAGCTGGGCTGCTCCAGAGTCAGCCTGCAGCTCCACTGCAGCTGCACCCCAGCTCCCTGCACTGTGTTCCTCCCACACCGGGAACAGGGGACAGAGCAAGTTCACCCCTTTGCAGAACAGAGAATGCTTGGTGATGTTCACTCTGGTTATGTCAGCTCGGTTAACACTGACTGGCAGCAGCACTTTGCTCAGAATAATATCAATACATTTGTATATAGATGCGTAAAAGACATTACTCACAAGTCACTTAGAAGCCAGGGCAGCCAAGTCACACCCTGGAGTAACCAGCAGCAAAGGGGAGCTGGTTCCAAGGAATAGTTTAAAGCAGCACTTTCCAAGGCAGAGCAGTGTGAGATGTCAGCACCCACATCCAGCTGGGACGACACTGGTCTTGTCCTGAAGAACCCATAGAATCACAGAATGGCCTGGCTTGGAAGGGACCTTAAATATGATCCTGTTACAACCCCCTGCCATGAGCAGGGACATCTTCCACTGTCCCAGGTTGCTCCAAGCCCTATCTAACTTGGCCTTGGACACTTCCAGAGATCCAGGGGCAGCCACAGCTTCTCTGGTCAGCCTAGAAATTCCTGGTGGTAAAATGGACAAAGTAACACAAGAAGTCATTGGAACTCATCCTTTTCCTCTCAGAAAGCTGAAGTTTTACGGCTTACAGACAGTGTGATTAACCAAAATATTAGTTGGTCAGCTGAGTGTATTTCCTTCAGGATTTCTCAACCAGATTGAATAAATGCTATCTAAAAATCCAAGAAGTTCTTCTGGGTTGCCTGGAGGTCTGATCTCAGTTTGAAAGTGATTTGTGCTTTAACAACAAATACATTCTAAATGAAGACTGAAACATTGTTTCAGTAGCTGTTTAAAGCAGATGCAAAAATTAAATATTTAATGCAAGAGTTGTGTCTTTTTAATTTCCTTTTTATCTTCCTTCCTCAGTGTGATGTTAGCCTCAAATTTCTGCAGTGCCTCTCCTCCACAGATTTCAGAACTGACAATTTCAAGGGGTGACACCAGTGACAGTCTCGCCTGTAAATGAGCAAGTGCCAACTGAATCAGCTCTATTTCTGTTGCATCACCATTAAAAACAACTGTGTTTTGCTGCGGTGATAAAACCCCAGCTGTGTCTCATGTGTGGTTTAGAGGATCAAGTCTCAAACATGAGCCTACACTGTTAACGTCTCTTCTAAGTGCATGCTTTCATACAGGTCCTTTTGCAAAAGTGACAGCCCTTCAGGCAAAGTTCGAGACAGACTTTGTCTGAAGTCACCCACTTTGGGTGACACAGAAGCCACTTTGGCTTTGCAAGAAAACAGCTTGGAAAGCCTGTACCTTCTGACTTAGAGCCTCATGGCTTAGCTGCTAGATTAGGTTTCCTTTTTCAATTGTCATTTGGGATCTGATGTTGCTCGTTGTGCTTACAAATACACCCAGCAGAAACCTTTGCTGAATTTCTTCCGTTCTGTGCCATTGCACTTCTCTGCCTGCGTTAATGCTCCTCTGAAGGATGTGCTGGCCTGAAGAGAGGCATAACCCTGGCAAATCCTACACAGAGATTGTGCTGTGGACAGGCCTCAAATTGGGTCTGCTGGAGAACAGAGTTCTTAGAATTTCATTCGTGGCAGAGTGACTTCGGGAATGTTTTTAATTGTTTTTAAGCTCGTCTCAGTGCGGTATACGGGCTGCGAGCAGGGAGCAGGGGCAGCCCTGCTGCCGGAGCTGTGGCTGCGGGCCGTACGGCGGAGGCGGGCTCAGGCGAGCCTCGGGGCCGCCGGGGATGTTCCTTTCCGAGCGCGGGGCGCCCGGCCTTGCCCGGGGCCCTGAGGGCCGTGCGCGGTGCGCGGGCTCCCCCTGGCGGCTCCCTCCGCGCCCTGCAGCGCCCGCCGCGGCCCCTTCCTGTTCCACAGCTCTCGCCGATCCCGGGATCACAGATCCCATCCTTCGCCCGGGCGCCGCTGCACGCCGAGGAGACTCACACCTGCGGTTTGGGCGCTCCTGCTGAAAAGCTCTGTAGCCTTAGGCCAAGCCCTAATACCTAAACCTGGGAGGTTAAACATCACCATCAGCGCATACCAGAAGGATCAATACTTGGTTGTGTCTAAGAAGCAGATCCAAAGTAACCAGAATAAAACGTTTCTCTGAGAAACAAACAAGTTGAATTTGCAACCATGGAATCACAGAATATCCTGCCTTGGAAGAAACTCACAAGGATCATCCAGTCCAGCCCCTGGCTGTGCACAGATATCCCAGCAATCCCACCCTGTGCATCCCTGAGAGCACTGTTCAAACACCCCTGGAGCTCTGGCAGCCTCGGGGACATCCCCATTCCCTGGGGAGCCTGTTCAGAGACCCAGCACCCTCTGGGGGAAGAACCTTTTCCTCATATCCACCCTAACCCTCCCCTGACCCAGCTCCAGCTGTGTCCCCATTCCCCGGATCCTGTCCCTGGTCACACAGAGCAGAGATCAGGGCCTGCCCCTCCTCTTCCCCTCATGAGGAGGCTGCAGTGTGATGAGTTCTCCCCTGAGAGACAACATGAAGAAACTGGAAAAATTGAGGTAAATTTTTGAGTGTGCTGGATGACAATGCTGATTTCATCCCTCATCCTCCAGCTAGTTATGTCCCACTCACAGCTTTGCTCAAGTTCTGAAAAGGAACTCAGAAAGTTCCTTTCTGAGGAACTTTCAGAACTCATCAGAAAGGTCAATCTACTGCTCTTCATGGATGCTTACAAGTCCTGTCAGATGAACCAGAGCTTTTGCTCTAAGAAGGGTTCCTGAGTAATCTGAGGAGCCAAACACAGCCAGTCTGCTGACCTTTCCCTCTCTCCTTTACTGCTAGGGCCTAATTCTTGCAGTTTCTGCACTTTGCATTTTGGAAGAGCTCAAATAACTACCCAGTTTATTTTTAGAGAAAACTCAATGTCAAGACCAAGCTAGCACCACATAATTTCCACAGAATGACAGGCATTTAAGGACACAGATATTTTCCCTTTTACTTGTTTTCTTCTTTGCATCAGCTCCTTTCTCTCTCTCTGTTCTAGCAGGGTGCAGCAAAACTCAGTGTTTTTTCTTACCTCAGTGTAAATACCTCAGCTTTACTCATCTTAATTTGTAATCCTAACAGGTCTTGATTGAATGCCACTGCTGCTGAGGTGCTGCTGAAGTACCTTCCTCACAGTGCCCCTGGAGCCCAGCAGAGCACTGACTTGATGTTCTCCCTGGCAAGTGTCCTCACTGAGAGTCCCAGAAGTTTCAGTGTTGTCTCTTGCTGCATCAGCAGGGATATCAGCAGTCCAGCTGGAATGCAAATCACCTTTGAGAACCCTTTTAAATAGAACCACAATCACAGAAACACAGGATGGGTCAGGTTGGAAGGGACCACAGTAGGGTATCTGGTACAGTCTCCCTGCTCCAGCAGGGTTATCCCAGAGTGCAGGATTGTCTCCAGACAGCTCTCGAATATCCCCAGAGAGGGAAGACTCCACACCCTCTCTGGACAAATCTGTTCAGGGCCCGGTCACTGCACAACTCCAGTCCTTCACAGGCTCCAAGATGAGCCTAGTAAATACCAGAAATTGCTGGTTGTGTTGTTCAGTGGTGGTCAGAGAAAACCCTGGACTTGTTTTAGAATCTCTACCTCTTGGGGCAGATAAGCTGAGAGATGTGAGGCGCACAAGACATTTGGCAGGGAAGTCTTCAGACTTTCCCTAAAACCACAGGTCCCAAGATTGTCTGATTATGGCTAGAAAGATCTCGATCTCCTGACCCCCAGCCTTCAGATTTAATCCCTATTTCCTATAATTTTTAATTAATTTATATTCATTCCATAATTCATAATTAATTCATAATTTCCATCCATTATTTTTCTATTTGCTTCTATTTTTGCTTGTGTGTTTCTTCATTTTTGCAACACTTGTTTTTCCCTTTTGAGTTTTCTTTCCTTCTCCCTGTTCATTTTATCTTGAAGTTTGTCATTTGGGGTCTTTTCCATTACCTTTGGGTTTGGCAGTATAATTCACTTTATGATGATGGTTTTCCAGTATGGCTGCCAAAATACCTCTTCTTCATTCTTCAGGGTCTCTTTGCTCTCCCCAGGATGAAAAAGGGCTGGAAAGTCAGGAGAAAACTGCTACTGGATGGCAGTGGAGGGGAGGTCATGCCAAACACATCCCACAGGAGCTTGGTCACTTCACAGCAGGTATCCACAAGGGGAGAGTCTGAGCATCCTGCCCTCCTGGCCACAGACTGAGGAAACAGACTTGGGACAATGGCCTCATCACACACAATCCCACTCCTTCTACTCACAGTTTCCCCAGGTTTATAGAAAGAAAAACAATCTGATTTTCTCAGTAGCATTCCAGTGCAACAAGCAATTGAGTGAAGATTTAAATCATATTTCAATTCATTGCAAAAATGTGCACTCCATTTGGCTTTTCACCAGTTCAATTTGATTCCCACAAAAAATTTTGATCCTGCAATTTACCAATTTTTTAGGACTTTGTTCTCCTTGAATCTCAGGGGATTACATGCCAGAATTTGCCTATGCAGTGGGAAGGCAGATACATTTTAGAGGCAGGCTCATTCTGTGACAGCAGACTTCATTTTATATGCCTGCTAGCACCATCTATCCAGATCAGAGGTTTTAGAATCACATCCCACTAAGGAAACACCACCATGGAGTGAAGTGACACAACCGAATTCACTAAAGGAATAAAAGCAAGGCAAGTAAATTTAGGTCAAGGTGAGTTTATTGTCCATACAGCATACCTAATCCCGCCAAAACACTTTTCTTAGAACCATCTTTAAACTAGTCAAAACAATATGTTATTAATAAAAATGACAATACTGAACAAAGACCTTTTAAAAGGCAATCATACCTACACCGTATCAGAGTCTTATCCATCAGAAACAACCTCATGTACTTTCTAAATACTTTTGTTTACACTGATGTCTACTACCACACTTTCTAGCATCCCCTGACCACATAAACATCCACACCTCTTAAAGAGCACATTTGTGAGAGAATAACGTTGACTTGATATGGCATCACACTCAATAAAGCAAAAAAAAAAACAAACCTAAAACAAAACAAAAAAACAAAAAAAAACCCAAACCAAAACAAAAAAAAACCCAAAAAAGTTTGAGAACAGAAACTGTGCAACTAAGAGTGATTTCTGAGGTACATGAGAACATGGTAATAAACATAGTGGAAAAAATCCAGTGGCCAGGTAGTTTGCTGAGTAATTAAGAGCTGTCCGATTACTCAAGCATAAATCGTAGACATTGAATTAATTGGACATGGGATTAATTGGTATTTTTCTCTTTCACAAGCACGTTGGAAATACAAATAAATACATTCTGAGGTGCTCCTACACTACAGTAACAGGAAGGAGGAGAAGACCATCGAAGTACCATCAATAAGAAGCTGCTTTTAGCAACTGTACCAATCCTTTGGCACTTGGGAAGGCAGAATCAGCAACACATTTTCTATTCTTTTTTCATCAATCATCTGGGAGACTTACAATTTCTGCAATTCAGGGAGAGAAAATCTCACACCTCATTTGCAGTAACACACTTCCTTTAACATCTGTTAAAAGAGAGTACAAGGCAGTCATTTTATTCAGAAAGCTACTGTGAAAGCTCTCAAATTTTAGGGCTGGCAGCCTTCAAACATACAGTATGCTGTAACCAGAGGGTTGGCACTTGTTGAGCATGTCACTACAGCCAAGGACACTCCTCACCCTGGTGGGGACACACACAGACCCACCAGGACCCTGCGGAGACTGGGAATGCTGAATAGTGCTGCCCCTTCCAGCACAGCTCGCCTCCACCCTGCTGCAGAGCAGCCACCATGGAGGTGGCCCTCAGCCCCTGTCCCTTCAGTTCTGCAGAGGGGTGACACTGGGATCAGCCCTGTGATCCACAGCAGGAATCACCCCGGTGTTCCACAGCAGAGATCATCCCTGTGATCCCATGGCTGCTGTAGGACTGTGTGGGGGGATAGAATATAAGAAAATAAAAGATAGTGCAGAAAGTAATATCACCCCTAAGGAGTTTCAGCTGGGCCAATTATTAAAGACTAGAAGCAGGCCTGACTTTAACAGGCCACAGCTGTAACCAATAAGAAGAAGAGTGTTATAAAAGAGTGGGTTGGCTACTTTGTGAGGAATTGGGAGTTGGCTGGCTACTGTGAAGAAGAGAGTCAGTGCTCTGAAGAGCTGCCCATGAAACCACACCAAGAAGGTATGAAACATTTGTGATAGAGACAACAATACAGAACTTTTGCAATATTATGACAACAATTGGTGACCCTGATGTGATTTGGGAAAAAGGACTTAAATACTAAACTATACGACCCCATGGATTTGGGAAAAAGGACTCAAATACTAAACTATGTGACCCTGTGGATTTGGGGAAAAAGGACTTAAATACCAAACTATATAGCCCTGTGGATTCAGAAAAAGGACTTAAATACTAACTGGAGGAAAAATGAGGCAAAGTGTCAAACTGATAGGAAAAAGTGGCTTGAGGAAAAAAATGGGACTCCTATATCAAGTAAAAGAAGCTGAGAACCATCGCAAAAGGGAAATGAGAAAGAAGGGCATGAGGAAAAGCAACAAAACTGGAAGAAGGATGGGAGAATTTACTAAAGTAACTGTAAGAACTGGAAAAAGAATAGTTCTATTATTCAGTACAGTGTGTTTATTGATTAGTGAAATGTATCAATTGCAGCTATTAATGTTTGTTAAGTATGAGTATAAAAGATTTTGAAGTACTTTGTAAACTGAGAAAAGCTGCAAAACCAAACCAACATGTAGAAATATATATATATTTGTACTGTAATATGTTGTTTGAACATTTGTATAACTATTAGTTCTAAATGAAATATATGAATTTGTCATAATGTTAATTTACTTGAACATGTCTTTCTAGAAATGTTGCAACTCTGTAATTAAAAGAAAAAAGGGGGAATTGTGGGGGGATAGAATATAAGAAAATAAAAGGTAGTGCAGAAAGTAATCTCACTCCTAAGGAGTTGCAGGGTCAATTATCAAAGATTTAGGAGCAGGCCTGACTTTAACAGGCCACGGCTGTAACCAATAAGAAGAGTGTTATAAAAGAGTGGGTTGGCTACTTTGTGAGGAACTGGAGTCAGTTGGCTACTCTGAAGAACAGTCAGTGCTCTGAAGAGCTGCCCATGAAACCACACCAAGAAGGTACGAAACTTCTGTGATAAAGAGACAACAATATGGAACTTTTGCGATATTATGACAACAGGACTGGGGTGTGAAGGAGGCTGGATGAAGAGCAGGGGCGGGCACCCTAAACACAGGTCCTGCCTATGGCACAGAGCAAGTCATGCCAGCATGGTGGACATGGTGCCAGTGGTCAGAGAGGTCACCCCACCTTCCGGACCTTCTGGTAGAGCTCCCCATGAAGCCATGGGGCAGGGCTGCCAAGGAGATCTGCTTGTGGCTCTGCAGTCTTGCTTCAACAATACCAGCTATTTTTTTCCTCTAGGACAGAGACACTGCTGCAGAATTCTGGGTGCTCCCAATGCAGGACATTGAGGCAGGAGGTGAGGCCAAGGCTGTGCCCAGCAGCAGCTTTGAAAAGAAGAGACCTGCTCACCAGTGGAGAGTCAATGCATTTTTTCCACTATGAAAAGGATACCAGAGACCAAAAAGGAGCCAGTGCCCCGCCTCGGCTGCTTGCAACCTCTCCCGGGTGGGCCCCGGGGCAACCAAACTGTCACTGTGTGAGGTATTGTGAAAATGGGAACCATTTCTTGTCCAGCAAACCTGAGGTAAGTATACCATCTTTGCAGGATGTGATCAGGAAGGAAGAAGATTAAAACAAAAAAAAAAGGAAGAAGAAAGAAGGAAAAAATAAAATTTAAAAAAAAATCATGAACACACTATTAGGGGAAAAAAACCTGTACAGGGCATTTCCAGTAAATCAAAGAACTCATCATATCTCCACTTAACCATCTACTTCAGGATTTGAAATTTAAGCAGTAAAATAATATATTATAAAAATGTTTATAAAATAGCAGCACACTCAGTGAAACAATACAGCTAAGTACTGTTAATGTGAATAAGAATGAAACAAATCATAGCTTCTTAGCAGCGCAAAAAAAAAAAAAAAACAACCAAAAAACCCCCCCCAAAACAAAAAAAACAACAAAACCTTAGAATCTTACTCCATTTTCTACCCTCATCTAGCCAAATAGGCTGAGTCCATATATATAATGTTCTTCGAAGTAGCATGTTCTTTCTGGATTTTTGTGTTAAAAATACGAACATTAACATTTCAACCAACAGCTTCATACTGGATGTCTGCAAACTGTTAATACAATTGTGCAAAAAAAAAAAAAAACCAAAAAAACAAACAACACAAACCCCCAGAAAAACAGAACCAAAAAACCCAAAGTTGCTCCAACTCCTTTGCCATCTAAATGCCTCTTCGTTACAGGTGGAGCAGGAAAATAAATTCAAGTACACTGAATACACCTTTGTGATAAAACTCCAAGTCACACACCTCGATGTTTAACACCATGGCTGTTGCACCAGCAGTTTTCTTTCCTTGTCCATAGATAAACACACAGGTGGTATTAAGATCCTTCTGTGACACTGAACAATACAGATGGTCAGGCTTTTATCCGGAATGTCATGACAGGAATGTCATCTGAAGCAGGTGTTGGTATTTCCAGCAACACCACAGCTAACCGAGTACACAAATACTGGAAAATATTGACTATAAAAAGTTATACAAAGCCTTGCTTTTGTGACTTTTTTTTTCCTTTTTTTCTTTTTTTTTTGTTTTTTTGTTTTTCTTTCCTTGGCAAAATTGTCATAAACCATCTCATTTAATCCCTTAGGAACAATTTTCAAAGTGCTTTTCGAATGAAATGGTTTACAAAAACGCTCACTGTGGATCAATAAAGTTAATGAAATGCTGAAAAAGTGTGCAGGGGGAGTGGGGGGAAAGAGAGACGAGGGAGCAAACCAAACCCCATCTTCTTTAACACAGTGAGGGGCTATTATAAGGGAAGATGGACAGAGCATCATTTAAATGTCTTTGTGGCCAAGCAAAGAAACTGCCAGACATTAACATGGAGGTGAAGCATTAGCACTGTAAAGGAATATAATGCTTTTCCTAGCTGATCCACCACACCTTGCAATCCAAAGGTTGGAGGTGGTCTGCCCAGCCAACAGGTCGGCATTAATGTGTGCATTCCCCCCACTGACCGTGAACACTTGGGAACTTTGGCTTGGCCCACGGCTGGATAAAAGGAATTGCCCTCATGCCAAAGATGCTGCTGTGTTTAGAATTAACCATTTCGGAAGGAAAAGTAGATAGAAAGTCAAGAGGGGCAGAGGAGGAAGTTGGGGGGGAAAAAAAGAAAAATAAATCAACTAAAAAAAAAGCCCAAAAGACACCTGCTCTTCTGGCTGGTAAAATAAAGCATCTTCTTTCTTAGGTAGCAGCTACCACAGACAGCAAGAGTAAACAAAACTAACATACAGAGATCCAACAAACACTTCTGACTAATAACAGAGGTGACAGATCAGCAAATCTCTTCTGCATTCAAAATGGTTCAATTGCTTCAGGGATCTTTTCCCACTTTGCCCTAAACCCCTTATTCTATTGCTTTGCAATCTAGTCAAGCCATAAAATCGCACACACGATTCCTTTCTTTTATCTAAAAAAGGGGTGTATGCACTAGTTCGTAATACACAGACAGGTATACTCTACTTTGTTCCCACAAATGCAGGCTTACATTGATCTAGCTACTTTATATGCTTTTATAAGCATTTAATATCACTGATACATAATCAAATAGCAATTACCAAATATATCGTGGGATTCCCTTCTGTAGAACATCACAGGTACCAAACGCTTTTTTTTTTTCATTATTCAGTTTTTGTACTTTTTTTTGTTTTTCTTTATACCTAAAAGAGCTTTAAATATGTTCTATGTGGGAGCAGTTTAAAAAAAATTTCACTCTAAAAATAATAACAAAAATAAAGGGTCTGGGGGAGCAAGCGTGACTTTGTGTGCCGATGTCCTCACAGGTTGATGTCTCTCACATCTGTGGGAGTGCTGGCCTGGTCCAGTTCATCCACTGTCTTGGAGGGGCTGCTCTGCTGCTGCTGCTGCCGGACTTGCTGCAGGCTATTCACAAGCACCGCCTCGATCTGTTCCTGACAAGCTTTAAGGCAGTCCTACAGAAAAGAAAGCAAATTTATCTGTTAGTAAAGAAAAAGGTGGTTATTTTTTCCTCACTGAGCTAGCAGAAGTCGGAAGGGCATCAGTCAGGTGTTTCTAAGAAGTGCCTGCTCTGACACAAATCAACCTTGAATTCTGAGAGATCATCACAGTGTACAAACTCCCTGGGTCAAACGTTGTTCATGCTGTATTGATAAGGCTCTAAATCTTAATATTTTACTGATCTTTGTAGAATCATTTAGGCTGTAAAAGACCTCTGAGATCATCGAGTCCAACCTTTGAGCAAATACCACCTTGACAACCAGAGCAATGAGTGCCATGTCCCATAATTTTCTGAACACAAAACCGGTTTGCAGAGACCACCGCATTACAAACTAACAACATTCAGGGAAACAGCAGGGTACAGTACAGCAACATAAATATGGGAGCCTGTCCAGCAGGAGTCCCACAGTAAACATGAAGTATAAATACAGAAATAAATATGAAGGATTCACCACCATTTAAACCAGACACAGCAATGAAGAAGACTATTAAAATACTTACAGGATGTTCCACACTCTTGATAATACACTGGAAGACCAAATAATGTGGTTATTTAACCAGGAAAAAAAATTGTGAGAAAACCTTGACAAACCCTGAGTTATAGGAGAAACTTAGAAATAAAATCCAAGCTGAGACTGTATGAACACAGTGCCAACCACGTTCAGTGCGCTGGCATTGGGAGTATCAAACCGACACTGTGCATGGGGACACGTGGTGCTACAAGAGATGGCATTTTCTAAAGGCAGCCCTGAGGAGTCCTGGAAAAGGCACTAAAACTAAACTTCCTGTGGCCTCAGCCTGCCTAAGAGCTGGCTGTCTCCAGAAGTCTTCAGGGAATAGAGCAACACAGGATTTGGCAGGAGGATTTTCACAGCACAGTGTTTTAACCAGAGCCCCCATCTGGCTGGGGTGGTGAGACTGAGCATCACCATCCCTACTGTCAGGCAGGGGAGCTGAAGACCAGAATGGGGCACTGACCTCCACAGGGTTCCACAGGCACTTGTCAACCCATTAAAGGATGTGACTGTAACACTGAGGAGCTGGGCCCTGACCAACACACCTCCTTTTTCTACACAGTACCTGGTTATTGGGGAGAGTTTGAAATATTCATACGTGGAAGACTGATTTGTCATCCCAGCTGGTCTGGGAAAAACACATCCGGTGAAGAGGATCTGTTCCGCTGGTGACGCTGATGTTTGTGATGGGCACAATTGGCTCTGGTAGGTAATGAACACCCACTTTTCTTGGCTACTAGCCAGCAGCTGCTGGCTACAAAATCCTGTCCTCAGATAAAAAAAAATCCCCCATTATCAGCTAGGGAGGGCTTTAGGTCCATTGTAAGCATTCACCTGTGTGTAAGAGGGCAATGACAACAAATCACTGTGTGGGTCAAGGCATTTTCAGGTGTGGGGGCACCAGTTTGGAGACTCTTGTAACAGACAACACTTGTAATGTGCTTTTTTGGGTGTAAGAACCTTCTGTTTTAAAGCACAGTTTCAAAGTACTGTGTCCTTCTGAAAATAAGCCAGATTTTTTTTTTAAGCAGCTTCAGTCTGAAAAGCTTAATGAGGCAATTTCCTTGCAGGCAGGCTTGGGGAAGGAAGGGTGGTGACATGCGGAACATGTGGCTCAAGCATTTGGAGTCAGCTTTGTCTGTTCCTAAACACCCTCATGTATGGTCATTTACACCATCACTGTGCAAACTTCTGATGGGTAGTGTGATGATTCATTTCAGGTATGAAGAGGCTGAGATCTCCAGGTAACCCTATAGAGAAATGGGTCATTTCTGGTGTCTTCATTTTGTACATAAAATCTATAATGTGGCCTCGACTGGAATTGTCACATGGATTTTATTTCATATGGGAATCCACAGGCTACTGTGTATTATTTCTCTGGTCTTTTTGAGAAAGACTTTTTGAGCTTAAAAACACTGAATTCTTTAAAACAAAGAAACCTACAAATGACCAGACCACTGCATTCAGCATGAAACAGTTTGCCAAAAAAGTGTTGCTACTTGCATATTAAACCTCCTTGGATGTCAAATCTCAAAGGTGAAAGGGAAAAAAACCTAATTTAGAGTATCTTATCAGCCCAACTGTCACAGTGTGATAGGTCAGTAAAGATGATGGCATCATTGGAACTTTCTGTCAATACAAAGTTAAGGGACAAGATACAAAAAAATTACTAAAAACCCATCAGGACAAACAGCCCAGCCTTCCCATGACACAGTATTTTTAACCCCTCCAAGTTTCATGGGGATTTGCTGCATGTGTACATATTTTATTGGTGGACTTCCATTTTGCAAGTTCTAGATGGCTCTGATGACAGAGAATTAAGTTTTAAGAATGTATCAAAGAAAAAAAACCCCATGAATTGCATTATTTTCAACAGATCTTCCTTGAAAGAACACTATAATGCACTGCAGTATGACTCCAGATTTTGCAATACAAGGACTAGCCATTCCCTCAGAATACTGCAGGGTTTGCCTTTGTTTTTTTTATAAAAAACTTTTTAAAGTGTGTGTCACATGGATTAACTTCCCCATTCTTCTATACGGTCTAGTAGTTTTAATGATTAAAATAGTTCTGGTACTTTCCATTTCATAGTTTTATTTATACTTCAGCATGTACAGAACTAAAAAGGCAATTAACTTTGTTTCTTTTTTTTTTTTTCATTCTGAAACTCTTGCATCCCTAGGTGGTTTTACTAGCACATTTGAAAAGCATTTGAAGGAAAAGAAAACTCTCCTGTGTCTGATGAGGGGCAGCCTCATGTCTATGGTAGAAATGCTGGCAGTAAAAATAACTGGAAGGAGGAATCAGCAGCTCTATGGCATGAGCTACTTATTCAAGTCAATAATCACCAAAGATTTCAATTTCCACTCATGACAATCTTGAAAGAAAGCACAAGCCCTAGGGAAGATTCTGCAGAATATTACACATACTTCACTTTATTGAACTTTTCAACATTTCTGTGGTATATGTACGTCCTATACTGGCCTCCAGCTTCCAGTGTTAAACTGGCATTTATGGTTCATTGGCAAACTATGAGGGAAGGCCTGCCACTCAACCCAACTCAAGTCAACCACCAGGCTCTTGCTTTGCACTGCCCAAAATCCCAAAGCTGGGAATACTGAAAAAGCCTTCTGGTATTTTTGTGTTGAAGAATGGCCAATTTTCCACATATATATTAATTACTTCACAAGTAAGTGTTAAGGCTCCAAATGTCTTCTTCTTCCTTAAAACTAATTGCAAAAGGAAAATCAGAAAAGGACTTTTTTTAGGTGCAGGATCTGGTTTGATAAATGGAAAGGATGCTGGAAATACCCAAAATTACAGTACTGTTCATTGCTTGGATAATCTAAGAAAGCAGCAATCAGACATGCATTAAAGAGCTGGGATTTACATAAATTCCAGTGTGGAACATGTCATCTGTACTCCTACACACAAAAGCTAGCTGGATTTCTCCACTGGTTCACATTTAAGCCCAATTCAGACCTCTCCAAAGCACATGCTTCATTGTTGACATAAACAGGGATTCCTTCCCAAAGTGGGGCCTTTGTGTGCTGAGCACTGGCCTTTACCTCACTGACCTTCTCCAAAGCAAGAGCCTGGAAAGCTGCTGTGAGAATATCTTATCCATTTACTGTATTTCCAGTGATCTCACATTTCATGGATGCAGTTAAAAAACTGAACTATTTTCCCTCCTGAATGTATGTTTTTGCTACTGTAACAAAGAGCATCAATCACATGTGTCTATGTCTCTTTTTCCAACTGGAAGTAGAGAAAATAATAATTTGCTGTTCCAAAGAACACCTCATGTGGACTAACAAGGACATCTCATTCAAAAACAAGACAAACAAAAAAAACCTGCAAGAAACTAATTCATGCCAGACCTTCTCCACTTACTGTTGCCACATTATTGCAATAATGCAATAAATAAGGTGACTAACATTAAGAATCTGAAATATAGGGCATTTTTCTCTGCAACTTTTTGGTCATTTCAGCAGTTTCAACAGCGTCCGTTCTCGATTCAGTTCCACTGTTTGCTTCACCACTCAGTTTGCTGGTTTCCTGTTGCTGCTGTTGGTATTTCTCATTGCAAACAGGAGAGAACAATGTTTTCAGAACTGGGAAAAGAGAGTAAAGCCAACACACCAGCAGGGCGATGCAGGGGCAGAACCATGATACTCCTTGCTCAGTGTGACTTGGGATTTCTGGCAATCTCTACCAAGTAATACTTTGAAGACGTGAAAAGGTGAAAAGGTGGAAAGCTGAAAACGTGAAAAGGTGTGGGATTTATGCTGTCGTAACAAACGCTCTGAGTGTTTAGTGAAAAAGGGGATTTTCAAAAAGCTGGGAGGACCTGCCTGCACTACACAGAGCTGCAGGAGCCAAGCAAGGATTCCCTGCCTGAGTGGCTGATCCACGGGAGCCGCTCTGGGGGCTGCAGAGCCGTTCCTCGGGGGCCTGGCTCCCCTTGGCGCGCTGGCCGTGTCTGCGCCTGCCAATGGACCTGACGGAACTCCGCCATGAGCCCGCAGTGTCACTGCATCACCCCATTGTTGCTACACACGCACAGCACTCACTGGGGAACAAAAAGCTGAATGAAATGGAGCAGCTGCCAACTCAGGCAAAGACAACTTAGGAAACTATCTCATTCTTCCTTTCTCTGGGAGGCTATTTCGCCTGTTGTTTCCTTGCATACAAAATGCGGTCTGCAACAAATAAGGCAGGGTAAGATACAGCGAGTCCTGTTTCTTGCTTCCAAAACCACAGGCCCTAGACACTACAAAAGAGAGGATAAATGGTGTATGTGCTCTAGGGACAATGTTCAAATGCAATCCATTCAAGATAGATTTCCATAATTTTTTTACTACAGCTCTGAATTCTTGAGCATGGTGGTTCTTCACTTCCATTTCTGTGCAGAAATCTGCAGATCTTTATGAAGGGATGTCTCTGATCTTGGGAATAAAAAAAAAAATTCCAGCACTGACATATGTGGCACGTGTACGTGGAGATATTTTAAATGCCATTTACAAAACCAGCCCCACTCCACATTTTTAAGGGCTCAAGGCCAGCTGCTTCGACAAGCCTTTAAAAAATTCTTGGTTCCTTGCTTTTTTTTTACTTCAGGCCCTTAAGTATGCTTTAGATTTTCCAAACCGTTCAATATACACCAGTTACCATCTGGGAGCAGACTTTTAGAGATGACTTCTGCCCACATACAGGCATTGGCTCTGCCTGAAAAACTCTCCCTGGCTGCTGATGCTGGAGAGACCAACTCCATGTGTCATCCAGATGCAACCTGGATGGCTGCTCTTCCAGGAGGTGAGGGAATAGATTTACCCAAGAAAGGTCTCAAGCAAAGCACAATATTGATTGCAAGGTCTTAAAACATGCCCTACCCATGCAGCTATCCTTCCTCACATCCCATAATTGTGCACAGCGGGGATGCTCGTATCTTCCTCCAAAGCACCTGGCTCCACCAGGGACAGGATACTGCTCGAACTGGAGTGCTGGTCTGGGATGCTATGGGAATTCCTGACTTCCTGAGTTGTTTGTTTTTCCTTTGCAATGACCCACCAAGAGATGCACAGGGAGCTCTGAGGCTTCCTGCCAGTAGATCTGTTAACTCTTTGTTCACCAGCCTCTCTGCAAGCAACCACAAAGGAAATGTTCCCAGCCACTGACAACGGAACAAACTGGAACATGCAATCCCCATCCTTCAGAGCTGTGTGAAGTTAGAATCAGAGGCACAGAATGGTTTGGGTTCAAACACACCTTAAAGGTGATCTTGTTCCAGCCCCCTGCCATGGACAGGGACACCATGCTCTAGACCAGGCTGCTCAGAGTCTCATCCAGCCTGGCATTGATGCAAGGATGCAGAGGACACAGTTTCTCTGGGAAACCTGTGCCAAGGCATCAACACCCTCTCTAATTCTAATTCTAATTCTAATTCTAATTCCTTCCTAATATCCTATGTAAACCTACTCCCTTTCCATTTGAAGCCATTCCCCCTTGTCCTGTTACTACAGTTCCTGATGAGAAGTCCCTCTCCAGCTTTTCTGTAGTCCATTCATACTGGAATGGATGCTCTGAGGTCTCCACACAACTTTCTCTTTTCCAAGCTGAACAGCCTCAACTCTCCTGTCCTGCCCCCACAGGGAAGCTGCTCCAGTTCCCCTTATCAGTTCTGTGGCCTGCTCTGAACTTGCTCCAACAGTTCCTTATGTTGGGGGCACCAGGACTGCATGCAGTATTTCAGGTGGAGCCTCACAAGAACAGAGTAGAGGGGGAGAAACATCACCCTCAGTTGTGTGGGATTAGCTCTTAGTGGCTCTTAGGGACAGCAGCAATCAGAGAAGGCAGCTCAGATGCAGCACACAGAGCTACTTTCACTACCCTTCAGGCTGCTGAGCTTCTCCAAGAGCAGCTCCCTGCTGTTTATTTTGGTCGGTGGAAGGAGTAATGAAACCAGGCTTTGCCTGGCCCTGTTGTCACACCTTCTCCAGCCTGTGATTCAACCCTCACCAAACAGCCCAGGGCAGCTGTTTACCAGAACTAACTGTTATCCCTAAATTAACAGTCCAGGATGCCTTGGACAGCCCCATCTCAAGTCTAGGGCACTGCTCTGGATTCATGCAAGGATATCCAACACCAACATGTTTTTGAAAGAAACACTCGTGCTGATTGTCTGCTGACCCAACAGCTGGTTTCTAAATTGCATGTTGTTTATCAATAATGTATTTTTGGTCTAATTCTTTATGAAACATCCATTAAAAACATTCATTTTAGTTGTAAATGCCAAACTCCAGTCTCAGTTACACTAATGTTTATCTAAAATAACACCATTGATTTCAGCCTCCTGGTTAATGCTGCTATTTCCCAGCAAATAAACTGCACCCTTAAGTTATCACTATAAAACAGTGAAAGTTCAGAAAAGCTCATTGCATTTAAGTTGCATCAGGGTTTCATTACCATTCTTCCTTTTCATCTGCTTGCAGCTTTGAAGCTGAGATTTTTCATGCTTCACCTCAGACAGTAACATTTTTTGAGAAATGCCAATGGGAAAGTCCTATCATCTGTTTCCATGCTAAGCAATTACATGCTCCAAAACAAAAATGAAGCAGAAGCCCTGGCACCCTCTGGCTGGGAAGGACTCTTCCCCAGCTGCCTGATGGTTCCTGTGGGCTACCACAAGGCACAGGAGGCCAGAAGGTTTTCCTCTGCAGAACTGTTAATTTCTGTGACTTCCCCACTTTTCTCCCGCATGATGGTCCTAAAGACCAGGAACTCTCATTTTTCCTTCTTCCCAAAGCCCCCACTGGAAAACAAAATCATTCACACAGTGACAATGAATTAATTGCGCCACTGCAGGAACAGCTCTCAGGCATCAGAAATTCGGAAGTGAGAGAACTGAAGCTCTTCATTCAACTTCAATTAAGTCCCAGTGTAAAATGTATTGCAACAGTCTTTACTCTTTATTAACACAGCCTTGGGCCAACTCTTACACAATCCAGACAGTAGGTTTTTTCCAACAATACATTTTACATATGAGGCTGGTACTACCTATTGCTAAGCCTGCCCCATATTTCTCTCAGCCCCATTTTCAGTTGCTTTTCTCTCTTTTAAGCTTTTTCATGTGGGATGAAAGTTCCCAGTCCTGGCCCCTTTTGTATTTTTCCAATGCAAAACTCACAGAGAAAACACCTAGCAAAATATTTCTCCCGAACTCAAACAGCAGGCTAATGAAAAATACACTATTTTGCCCAAACTCAAAAATTGTGGCAACCTTTGGTTAGGCTAAGGGTTCAAAGCTTGCAGGGAGTTAAGGCTACTTCTTCCTCACAAAGGACAACACCTTGAAAAAAATAAAAGCACCTCTAATTTCTGCAAAGGCTTATATTTTTTAGCAATTAAATTATCCTGAATCTCCTCTTGTCGTGAGTTTGCTTTGATTTGGGGGATGAGTGAAACCCTTCTCTATAGTTTGTGCTGCTGTGGGCTGAGACCAGGAGCAAAGAGAAGGAAGCTGGTCTCTACCCAATGCTGACAGACTCTTGGAGAGAAGATAGGAAGAGTAAACTGCTAGTTCTTTGTTATTTGGGAAGAGTATTAATATTTTCTTCTGAAGAAATGTAGACTCAGTCAGATCTGGGAAGATTTTTATCAGGATGGCAAAAAGCACGCTTTTGACAAAAAAATCCTGCTAAATTTAAAAGAAAAGGTGTGAAGGCATTTTCATTGCAAAATTAAAACCCCATCTTCTAACCACTTAAGAACTACTAAGATGTTTTTGTAAGTATTTTCTTTCAAACTTAAAATAACCTGGATAGAAAAGCACAGTAGATAAAATCTTTCCAAAGTGCAATCTTTCCAAATTGCAGCAAAAGGGCCTTATAGGGCTTACACACATTTCTCTCAGGCACAGGTTTCCCTCCTCTCAGATGGATACAGAGGATCAGAGGGATGGAGCAGCTCTGCTGGGAGGAAAGGCTGAGGGAAGTGGGACTGCTCAGCCTGGAGAAGAGAAGGCTTTGGGATCACCTCACTGTGCCTTTCCAGTGCCTGAAGTGAACCCACAGGAAAGATGGAGAGAGATGCTTGACAAGCGCCTGGAGTGACAGGACAAGGGGGAATGGCTTCCCTCTGACAGAGAGGAGATTCAGACTGGATATGAAGAAGAAATTGTTTCCTGTGAGGGTGCTAAGGCCCTGGCACAGGCTGCCCAGGGAAGCTGTGGCTGCCCCATCCCCGGAAGTGTCCAATGCCAGGCTGGATGGGGCTCTGAGCAACCTGGGATAGTGGCAGGTGTCCCTGCCTGTGGCAGGAGGGTTGGAATGAGATGTCCCTTCCAACCCAGGCCATTCTACAGTTTAGACTTCAAGCACTCTGAATTAGCAATATTCCTTTTTCTGTGCAAATCCAATTCAAATTAAAATAAATGGGAAACCCCAGAATTGCATGTGAAAATTAGGATCAATCTGATTGTAAGGAAAAAAAAAAAGAAATATCAAAATTCTCCCCTTTTAAGCAACCTGGACTACTTACTCCTTTTCAACCAAATCACAAACCCAAATCTTAATTTAACAGTGCTATCACAGATGCAATAATGCCATATATTTACTCTGTGAATCAAAACCAATAAATTAGTACATGTTAAGGACAGCTGGAATTGTGCTTGTCTCACATCCTGTCTTGAAATTAGCTCATTATTCATTTCTTCCAAGCCAAGAATTTTTAGGTGATTCCTGAGAGAAGCCAGAAGAGCCATTTCAAGGTTGCAAGCACAGGACCAACAGCAGTACAACACCTCCTGATTTGCTTTATGCCCCAGGGAATGCTGCCTGCTCACCCTATCACCCAGAGCTCCTGAGGAGGCTCAGCCTGCTGGACCATCAGCCTGGGCAGGCAAAGCAGGCTCTCCCCACCAAGCCTAAATAAAAACTGAATATCAGGAAATCAATGAGCTTTGGAGACTCAAACCAAAGTGGTGGGTCCACACCTGCAACTCACTCCCTGCAGAAGCAAACCCTTCCTTTGCTCCACTGAGTCTTCAAGATCAGACCCAGTTCTCCAGTACACCTTGGGAAGTGAAAGGAGAAGAGGAATGTGGAACACTTACCACATCTGTGTTTGTGATCTTGGCCAGGAGGTCCGTGAGACTGTCCCCATCATCTAGCTGAAGGCCACAGATGGCTGCTCCCACACTTCCAGTTGCTATCATTGATGGTGGGTACATGGCAAAGTTAAAATCTGCAAGAACAGATCTGGGAATTAGTCCAAGCCCAGACCAGAAAAGCTGCAAAACATCAGAGGCAAGCAACATAAAAAAACCACACCCAAGAATAAAACCCGGGGAAGTAGAAGAAAGGGAAAAGTGCCACTCTTTTTGGTCCCATGGAGCTCATTAGTCACACTGCTCATCACAAGCAGTCAAAGGAGGGGAAAGAGACCTGCAAATTAAAATGGAAATGTGGTGCAGTCTTTTATTCTCACTTATGCATAAAGTAAACCTGGACAATTTTTAATAGTCTTTCCTTAGTTTTAAAGAAAAGGAAAGAGAAGAAGGAGACTTCCTGTAATTTAAGTCAGAAATTTGGGTCTTGGTCACATTAGACCTCTCTGTATAACTAGAAAACTGGAATAAGGTATCACAAAGGACCAAAATGAGATTTTTTAGTCACGTCAATTTTTAAAGAATAAATTAATTCGGGCATTTAAAGACCTGTCTGGGAAAGAGATTTTAGTAAACGGTTCATCTTTACTACCTTAGCAATTAGGAAGTGAGAACACTTACAGCCCATAGCTACGAAATCGAAGAACAAACATTGCTTTTGTCATTACTACTACTTCTTAATAAACAAGCTGAAAAAACACTTCAGAACTTCCTCTCACACATCTGTCAGATCAGAAGAGAAATTAAAATAAAATCCTGTCATCTTTATAATGCTATTTAATGGTTTATGATACTGCCACAGACACTGGTTTATCAGCACTAGTTTATCCTGCTAAATATCAGATCTCCCACATCTTGATATGTTCCCAAAACTTGATTTGCAAGTTCTTTGGTTCAACAATAACTCATTGACAAACCTTTCTCTACCAATTTTCAGTATTAGCAAACCTTTCTCTGCCAGTTTTCAGCTGGGGGAAGTGGAGCAGAAGGAAGAGTAAACCAAAGTAATACATAATAAAAAACAAATTACAAGCAATACATTACATCAATAGAAACAGATTACAGAAAAGTGTCCTGCTGCAGATTCCAAATCCCCTCTGTTCACAAATTCTGTAACCTTGCTGATGTCTGTGTAACCAGTGAGGTTTTAGACACATGGATTCTCAGCCTCCCAAACTCAGAGCTGGCACATACTTCAATAGCTGTGGAGACAGCATGTTCTTCTCCAGGCTGGAATATATCCCTGGGACTGAAGCAGTCAGTAAGAAGGCACTTGGGACATAACATTCACCCAGGTGGACCAGAATGGGGGTGTTAGAAGTGGGGAGACAAAAGAAGGGGTTGAAACCCTGACATGGATTTCTCTGTCTCACAAAGCCACCAGGAGGTTCCCACCTGCAAGCCCAACACTACATGCTGCTTCCTATCAGACATCACACTCAGACAGACACTTTGGAAGGGCAAATTCTCACTGGCTGAAGTAAGGAATATGGAATGTCATTATTATAAAAATAGTAATTTATGCACTATTGTAATAGTAAGAACCCGCTGTAGATAGGAAAGTTGACTTTTGGAAATTAAATTATATGGCCCCCCACTAACGAGTGAGACAACAGGAGAACCTTGACTCCCAAATTCTCAGTGCAGGACACAGCCCTGAGTATGCTGATCTCAGCACATGGCAAGAGAATGGGAATTACACTTCCATGATTTCACTTTCTGCCAGTCACCAGTGGTGTTCCCCAGGGCTCAGGGCTGGGGCCAGTTCTCTTTGATAAATGACCTGGATGAGCGAAGGAGTGTTGATTTGCTTGAGGACAGGAAGGCTCTGCAGAGAGATCTGGACAGGCTGGACAGGCCAGAGAGATAAGGCTCAACAAGGCCAAGTGCTGGGTCCTGCCCTTGGATCACAACAACCCCCAGCAGCTCCAGGCTGGGGAAGAGCAGCTGGGAAGAGCCCAGCAGGAAAGGGCCTGGGCCTGCTGCTCCACGGTGCGTGCCCAGGTGGGCAAGAAGGCCAATGGCTGCTGGGCTGGGTCAGCAATGGTGAGGCCAGCAGGAGCAGGGCAGTGACTGTCCCCCTGTCGTGGGCACTGGGGAGGCCTCACCCCAAGTGCTGTGTCCAGTTCTGGGCCTGGCACAGCAAGATGGACATTGAGGGGCTGGGTGTGTCTAGAGGAGGGAATGGAGCTGGGCAAGGGGCTGGAGCAAAATTCTCATGAGGAGCAGCTGAGGGAGCTGGGCGTGTTTAACCCGGAGGAAAAGAGGCTCGGGGGGACCTTATTGCTCACTATTGCTCCCTGACAGGAGGGTGCAGCCAGAGGTGGGTCAGGCTCTGCTCCCAGGGAGCAAGGGACAGCACAAGATAAAGCAGCCTCAAGTTGTGCCAGAAGAGGTTTAGATTGGAGATTAGGAAAGATTTCTTCAGGGTGATCAGGCACTGGACCAGCTGCCCAAGGAAATGGTGGAGTCACCATCCCCAGAAAAGTTCAAAAAACATGCAGGTGTGGCACTTGGGAGTCATGGTTTAGCCGTGAACACGGCAGTGCTGGGTTAGGGTTGGAGCCCATTATCTTAGAGATCTTTTCCAAGCTTAGAAATTCGATGATCAAAACCATGTTCATGTTTACCTCACATGGATTTATATAAACACACATAAGGGATAACCACACACTAAGCTGGGAAGCAACTTCCATGTTTGACTTGGACGTACCAAACCGTCTCTTACTTATGCATGGGAACTACAGGTAGCAATTGATTTTCCATCATTTTCCCTACTTGTCCTGAGTTTCAGGTAGGATGTAGTAAAAAGAAGGTGCAGGGAGGTGCCATGTCCAGGCAGAATCGGCTGAGCAAAAGACACAGCTCCACCTGCTCTCTGAAATTCCTTGCCTCACATCACGATCTTCACGTTACCCGAACGCCGGTGTTCTCGTGGCTGATTTTAGATCCACTCCCAGAAACTGTCTTCCTAGGAAGCTGAATAAAGAGGCACAGTGTCCCTGCCAGCTAGCACTGCTGTAGGTCTGCTTCCACGTGGGGTCACATGCGAACATTTCTATGCCCAATAACCTTGTTAGCTCCCTTAATGTCATTCATAATGCAAATGAGACAGCGAGCGAATGGCCAGAGGCCCAGAGTGACTAAAGCTCAGCATCCAGAAAGTCTTACATTGCCTCTAGCTCTAAACTAACTTCCCTCCATAACAAGCACCATAAACTTGGCTATCAAAGCTACACATGCCCACTCTTTGTTGTACAACAGGCAGCGATTTGTATCACTGGCTTCTATTTTTAGCATATTAATTAACTACTGCAACTGGTGAGGCAAGTGTCTCCAACTGGAGAGTGTGGCACCATTGTCTGAAGTCATCACCTCATCTCGAGCTATTGAAAATCATGGCAGTGACCCCCCTGCTGATATGAATTTAACCTGACATGCCCACAAAGGAATAGGGGGTGGTGCACCAATTTTGTGCACATGGTTCTCCAGATCACCCTGGACCCTATTAGTGTGGAAAGAGCTCATTGAAAGAAAAGAAGCCACATTGTGCTGGGCCACCTAGAGGGTTGAATAGAAAAGGCTGAGGAAAAGAGCAGGCAGCGCAATAAAAGCCATAATTAACATATTTCCATATTCAAGCAAAGCAATAACTACGTGGAATGTTTGTCAAGGTGCAATGAAAGCATAAATATTAAGTACCGTATCTGAGGGGATGCAGAACAGTCCCCCCCAGTCTCTTAGATTCCACTGAGAAATTCAAAACAAGTTTTTACATGTTATTTTCAATTATAAACCTCTATCTCTGCTTCTACCTTGACAACAAGACAAGCCTTGCCATCCTCACTCAGTTTTCACCCAGGTAAAACTGTCCCCCCTCCAAATTAGGTCAAAAATTTGCCCGGAGATAAAAAAGATAAAAAAAAAAAAAAAAGGTTGGGGGCACAGAGAGAGAACCTAAAAATGTGAGCTGAAACATATGCATTTACTGCAAATTCTTGTAGGAGATGATAAAATCTGAACTACAGGGGAAATTTTATAGAAAGCACTTCTATAAAGTGCACTTGGGCACTTGGAATTATATAAATAGCACTTCCCATCTGAAGCAAGGCTATGGGCTAAATCCTTCTCTGTGCAAATGTGACTAACACACACCCAGAGCCTGCATCTAAAGCATGGCTCTGACTCTAACTTTGTTGTGATTTATAGGTTTATAGTTGAGCTCGATGATCTCAGAGGTCTTTTCCAACCTAATTGATTCTGTGATTATGCCATTCCATGGGAAAAGTACAAAGGAGTCTCATTATAAGTTAAGAGAAGCAGGGCCACAGCGCGTGTCCATGAGAATCTGAGCACATGAACACTTCAAGGGGAGACACTGGGTTGTTAAAAAGCAAAACTTGTTTTACTTTCTATTCCCAGGCAATATACACAAGAAACCACCCCATCCCCATTTTAATATCACGTATTTCCCAAATTACCTCAAAAACAAGTGACCAGCCCTGCACAACCCTACTGACTTCAGCGCTGGAAATAAAAAAAGGCAATGCAAGAAAGAGCACCCTTTGAAACACAGCCACCTGTGGACCAGCCAGCCAGAGTCATCAAGCAAATTCAGGGTACCCTGAACCTGTCCCCCACTTTCAGCCCGGAACTGATACAGCCAGGGCATGAGGAGGTTTATCTGCCAGTGGAACACACGTAATCCATGCCGAGGTTCCACGACTGCGAGCACCGCGGCTGAGCTGTTTTGCTGGCTCTCTCCCAGTCCAGTGGTCTTCACTGCCTTCAAGCCAGGAAAATGCAAGGCTGACAGTCAGGCCAAAGCAGAAGGGAACTGGAGGAAGGAACCGAGAGAGGTCCTGCAAGGGGAAGCCTTAACTTGCAGCCAACAAATAAAACCGTCGGAAGGAGAAGAGCACTGACAAATACCCAGGCTGAACATGCTCAGTGTGTCAAAGTCAGATGGGGGGAACTCTACTTACTTAAAACAACCCATTTTACTGATCTGGCTGCTGGTTGGGCTTTTTTTCAGCAGCCAGTTTTCATCTCTGTAATTTGATAGATATTTATTTAC